AAACACTAATTCATCACATTTTTCATAACAATAGAAGTGTGTATAGAGGGTTTCTAACGGTAAATATCTCAATAGACCTTATAGTTATTGAATATGGACTTTAAACTCCCATTATTCTAGTTTTCAATGTTTCCTTGTTCTCAGGCGATAGAATTTTAAGCCTATCCTTTCATAGTTTGCTATTGTGTTATTAAATTCGCCTCTATAGGACTTACTGTTGTACGAACCGATATTTTTTCTATGTAAAAATAGAGAAAGGTGGCAATAACAAACTAAGTTCAGGCTGACTAAGAACTTATCTCTGGGCAAGTGTTAAGTGAGAATAATTTGCCATCATTTAAACATAGACGTTAGGTCACGTTAACTTTAGTAATCACCACGTGTGCCACAGGCTGTGCACGTTATAGATCACTAGTTAGAAATTGAATACGAATACAATATCTAGCCTTGTTGTTTAGGAAGACTTTTACTCTATTTATTCAAAAATATTTTTTTCTACTTTATTGGTATATAAAGCAATGGTGCCGATAAAGTTACAGAGCAGAATATATATAAAATTTCATGATTGTTCTGAAAGTAGAGTAAAGGACACCAAGACAATGTTATTGATAACTAATATAAAGTACAACACTTGTAAACAATACACTGTCCATAACAAACATAAACAATGACTCTGTCGATTAACCAAACATTCTATTTGTTGCACCACTAGTGGTTTGGTTATAGTGAACCATGTCTTGTTGCTCATCAAAGTTATCCATATATCATGACCAGGTATATATTTAAATTGACATTAAGCAATCACCGATATGATTCTTGGCAATTGTAATGGCGATTGTCTACCAAATGAGTACTGGTTGTGAAGGATGTGGGAAGGCTCGTCGTTGTAAATTTATACGTGTTTACTTGCAGCAATAATACGAAAAATATCTCAACACTCTTCTTAAACTATACTGATATTGTAGTACACGAACATCTCAGATTGCCAAATCTATTTTAAATTTACTGTTAATCTGTAAACAAATTGTAACCACAGGTCTACATGTTGAGTGTTTGTTGAGGACTTGGTCGTCGTCCTAATCAATGGTCTACAAAACAATTCGTGGGTATAGTATTCTCCTAACCTAACCAAGTAATACAAAGAGTTGAAAAAGAAGCGTTTCGTCACATTGTAGCCTTTGTCTAAAGCTCATTAAGCAGACTGTCAAATTGTCTTATTTCAAAAAGATTTCTGTTTTTGGATCCAGATCGCCAAGACATGTCAATATTTTCGGGGTTACCAATAAAATAGTTAGAAAAGACAAAGTGCACACTGTCAGCTGATGTGAAAGCACACCATTCGTCAGTTATGGTACAATAGCTAACTATACAAGTGCATGCACAGAGAGATTCCAATAAAGGCAATGTGATAGTAAATGGTTGCATAATACATGCTATCACAACACTGTAAACTGGAGCAATGGTTTTCATACAACTTTGTTAAACTATCTCTTTGCACTTCACGAAACAGTAAACAGGCCTCAAGCTAAAACCAGATAGAAGTATTATATACGATCTAGAATGTGATAAGAAATGAAACTGACAATGGTATAAATGGTAGAGATAGCTTGAGGATAGAAATTAAGTGGTTTCTTAATCTGTTTTAATATCGTATTGTAATTGATCGCTTTTGATTTTAGCCCTGATAATTCAAACTGTGAAATATGTTTTCTATGTTTTCACTGGAAGGCAGATTGACCTTTAGTCCGAAACAAGCTAGATTCTCATCTACATGGCCTCTTATAACCAAATCTGAGAAAGATTTTAACTCAAGTTGTTTGTTTCGTTTCTTTCCTCTTTGGAAGTTAAATTCCTCGTTCTGAAGACATTTTTTTAGATCAGAACACAAATCTTAGTCCACAAAACCAAATAGTATTGTCATTCAATCTTTGGGTATAGCCTATTTACTTATTTGGGTATAAATTACTCTTATACAATTATAATAATACACAGGAGAATGTTCAAATACACCTTTATTTCAAGTTTCACTTACTTCACACGAATTATAAATAACTTAATGATAAATTAATTCTACCCCCTTGCTAATTTTTAAAATTGTCCGAACAAACTCTATCTAAACTCATTCTTAGCAATGATTAATGAAGCTTTAACATGATCTACGTGGTTCACAAGCTTCACAATTCAATATAACGTTGATTCAATCAACACGATTCTAGTCACGTTATTCAAGGATTTTATTCCAAATTATACACCATAGCCATTTCTTTATTTCCGTTCATTCTATTCGACATTGAGTGATATCATTAACCCTTTCCATTCCAAGTTAAAACATAATAATTAACCCTTGTCTGTCTATATTATTCAGACGAATTGTTTAGTATATACAGTTTGAATTGTGGAGAAATAGTGACCAATTAGACATATAATTTGGAAAAATGATCACGGTCTGGGTCAAAGAACTAAGCTGTGTTCTAAACAACTTCCTGTTAACTTAACTGTAAGTCATATTCTACTTGTATTTACATGTTTATGCAACTTTTGGGAAAATTTTTTTCTTTTGAAATACCATAGATAGAAATTGAAAGACTCAATATAAATACACACAAATGATGTTTAAACTATAGATATAGAAAATAGATATTCCTAGTAAATACATTGTTAGTATTTGAAACTGGTATTGCATTAACCTCGAGTCTATTTAGATAGTGTTTCTATAGGTCGAGATAAACTTTACTAGAATCTAGTCAACATGTACAAGTTATTACTACTAGTATTATACCACCTGTTACATCGCTTAACATTTATCATAATTGAGTCAGTCCTACTTTTTCACCGAATTACATCAACACTTCGGCAATGCCTTGAAATGGGTGAGCTGGGAGAAAAATCAAACTGATCTTTTAATGAAATACATGTATGTTTGATCTCGCATTTTTCCCAATAAATAAATCAAAACTTGGCCAGCATTACTCTTGAAATTTTCATTTATAGCACGGAACTGGTAACTCAAAAAATGCCATGGTTTATTGATAAGCTAATTTCGAAGAAAGGACGCCCAACATTTGTTTTCAATGGCAATTTCGATGATTTCATGGAACCAATTTTTAAAATACACACGAAATTCTTATATGTGGGGTTGGCACTTATTTCAGTAAAAAGGTTGGTCTGAAAGCATCAAAGAGTCAATTGACCTACTAATTACTAATTATGAAGAAAAACGGAATTAATTTCGTAACATAGAAACAACAATTATTATAGTGACTAACAAATGAAGTATCTATGACCAATAAATTATAATTCACACTAATGAAGTACTCAAAATAGGCTTTAGTCGCTTTAAGAAATTTTTGTGTACTTCCTGGCCATAAAAGAACCACTTGAAAGACTTTTAAGGGTGGGAAAAGAATTGAAATAGTATGATTGTCTGTCCATCATTTAACATAACTTGGGATGGTTCATATTTTACTATTTGACGTCAAGGGTGCCGAGTAACCCAGCCCACGACATTAAATCACTAAACTTCTATAGAAATTGCAGAAATGATGGCGGGAACTCTGATATTTAATTGGTAACCTAATGTACCTAATCTAATATCTAATAATAGTCAATTAGTAATGTAGATAGACTCATTAAAGGGATGTATTACCTAACTTTCAACATTGATAGACTTAAATAATATCATACTGAAAATCAGACAATGTAATCTTATTTTCATTTTCCACTTCAAATTTAACTAATGTATAAACCTCGGCATCTTGTTAGGATTCTGAAAAATGCTGAAGGTATTATAGAGTGAGTTCTATGAAATGTTGAGGAGCTATGTCCCTTTAACCTATATTTATAAACAGTCGGGTGACTAGCATCTGATTATTCTAAATATAATCTCTTATCTGATATCATAGAGAAGTAAAAACAAACAGGTAACTTCTGCCAAATTCATTATGCAACTATTCCTGGAACGTGGAGCGTCAAAGCATACGTTCACCTGGGAAGCAGAAATGGTTCCTCAAACAATCTTACATTCTTCAAACTATTCACAATTATTGTCTGACATTCTTGCATAAAATCTGTCAGTCTATGCAAACTTAAGACATATTCAATCATACAAATCCTAGTAGTGTATTTTGGTATTCGGATATCATTTCATTTAAATCGTGGAAATTAACAATCTACATCTAATCTAAATTGACAGTTTTATAGCGTTAACACCACATGAATCTTATATAACTCTATTAAATGATTTCAACTTTTCAGCTGTCATACAGTGGGTAGCTGGGGCTGAACTCTGCATCAGACAAGCATCTTGCTCGGGGGTCGTAACACCTTAAGTAACAGACAAGAGATCAATGACATCTCTGGAAAAGTGGTTTCCTATAGGGTCTGAAGATGGGATAGCCCGAGGTTCCCAGAAAACCCTAGCGTACAAACCCTACAGTGTAAATTAAATCTACCATACCATGTGTTAATTAATCCTTTAGCGACATTTAGTTGTAGAGATCACATTGAATAACGGAACACAATTACTTCCACTCCTAATAATCCTTAATTAATTGTTGGATTGTTTATATTGTGTGTATGTATATATCTTCTTGTACCATATTTCCCCCTCCACCTAATGATGACAATGTAGATTGTTGAAACGTAGTTTTAATACAAACATATATCTACATTAAGGAGTAGTATACCATAAAATTGTGTTCCGTTATTTAATAGTTAATTAGGCTCTGTATCAATATTATTTTAAGTAATTAAATTCGCTATAACCCGTGTCAATATTGTTTGAAGGATTTTCTACAAATTAGCAAACAGGTCAACCAGAAATATGAGGCTTTTCTTATTTCATTATCATAATGAATGATTGGTGACTTTTTTACTTATGTTGATAATTCCAGATATGAGAAGTATCGGTTTTCATAGACCGACAAAGACATCCATGTGTCCCGTTTTGTAAAATGTGCAATCAGTTTTTCTTTTCGTGAAATAAATATAATAGACTGTACCTGATGTATCCCAAATAGTAATCTGTATTTTGTACGTTTCTGATACGTTGTATGTGGTGGAAAATGTATCAAAACCAGTTGGTGTATAAACCTGAAATAGATAAGGTACATGCATCATTATGAATCGACTATTAAAACAAATATGAACAAACTGTTCATAATTTCTCATCATGAAAATGTTTCAGCTCTTCAGAAATTCTGGCACACTAAATTGCAATTACAGTAATTAAGCACATTAAATCCGAAATCGGCATTTAAGGCAAACAGATATTGAACCTTTATAAATCAATTTTGGTTTTTATGTCTAACCTTTCTCTTAAAACTCTTAAATAAAATGGAAACATTAAGTTTGTGTCAAACATAGAGTTATGTATAATATTGTAACAGTAATGTGGCCTAAATTCCTATTTGGGGGGGGGGGGGGGGGGGGCGTCTTTGACGGTTCCAGATACAGGAGGAAACAATTGTCTTAAATTTCAAAGACATTTTTACCCAAAGGTAACTGAAATAAAATGGAGATCATCTGGCGTTTTGTCTTGGTAAACAAGTAGGTAGTACTATGGCCAGTGCCGTTGAAACCGAGAGCATGTTTTTAATTTCAAACCAAAAAATATGCCACCCTATGACTGATGTGACGTTGCTACGTCAGTGCCTCTATAAATCTTATTGTATATTATTGTTTATGCCTTTTTATTAGAAAAGCAAGTTTTTAATTATCAAATGTTATGTATTGAGGTTGTAGCTGTCCATTTCCGTGTCAATTTGTACTTCCGAACAATACCAACTATGGCTTTATTGGCGATGATTAGTCATAGATAAGTTTTAAAAAAACGGTCATTGATGCAAGACGTTGACATATGCAATTTATATTAGAGTAAAAACGCCAAAACGTGGCATCTGGTAAAGACACGAGGCATTTGGCAGCCATCCTTCATCGAAGAGTTTCGTATCATACGAGGCAGAAGAATAGCTCAAAGGGAGTCTAAAATTTCTAGTTAATCCCTTTCATGACATTTTCTTTATTTCATTCATAAGATATCTACGCCTAAAGCCGACATTAATTATATACATAACCTATTCCTTCTCGAGATTTCTCAACCATATAATTTCTATTCACGTTTCAGAGCTCTGTGTAATTCCTATACTTCCTGCAATTCAAACTATCTGGACATTCCATTAAGTGTCAGTTTGACATTAGGTATAAGGTGCTCTGCTAATCTTTCTGTATTCAGTAGAAATCCCCTTTTTGCAATTAAAAGTTGCATACATTTGACACAATGAAATCAAATTATTAACATTTACTATGCTACTGTCCGAGTGGGTTTTTTTTCGAAATCGTGATTCTTCTACTAACGTGTTTTGGTTGTTCACTTATAGATTTTATATTCAAAGCGAATTCTAATTAATGTCATATATATCATAACATCTATGTTTTAGGAACCATAAATCGTCACAGGTTGTGTCTAGACCCTTTAATAATATAATAGTAAAACCCTACGGCTTTCAATTCAGACAGCGTTAATGGAATTACGACAAAAATATTGTATTGTTTCCCGACAGTTCCCGGGGGAGTAGGGAGTGTAGCGATTGTTGAGAACTGAAGAGTATCAGGATATCAAATATGAAAAATATTTTTGGTGTAACTGTTTTCAGACTGGTTGTATAATAATATCAATTTTACCGTTCACACTTATCTCACAGCTTGATAATCTCAAAATACTCTTTCGTATCAAAAATATTCGTTAGTAAAGCGGAAATATTTTTGACCAAATTCCGTGGTTATATCTATGAAGTATAATATAACGTATAAGAAAAAGAAAACTACCACCCTACACATGATGTAGTCATTACTTCATTCAGATTAAAATCATATCTCCACGTAATTAGTATAACTTCTCATCATTGTGTACTACTAACGTCCATTGTGGGTGTAGATCAGAACGACATTAAAAAATATCGACGAATTGGCCAGTAAAAAAATCAGATTGGACAAACTTTTCCTTGTCACGTGCTTTTAACAGACAGATTGTGTCATTTTTGGGGTCAGAATGTGGATGTCCTGATTAGCTTTAAATTCACATGTAAATCTTTTATTTCAGATAGTTTTAATGATTCAAATAGTCGCATGTCATGATGTACTGTACGACAATGAATCTCACGCAGTGGTTTTTCAATGTAAATTATTTCTATGTAGGAGTGGGTTTAACTGACCTAGTTATATCTAGGTCGTCTGTTAGGTTTTATCAATGAGTAGATGAGGTTTTTCTACAATGACATTTATTATAATAAATGATTTATTTACTTTTACAAGGTGTATGATAGCGTACTAGGGTGCAGTACAAATTCTTTCTCTATCAGTATGTTACTTAGTGTATGTCATATTATAAACTATGTATTTCTTACCATTGCCCTCCCACTTCTATATTCTAGATATGGACAGTTCTTTAAATTACATTGCAATATAATATTTTGCATATAAACTATAAAAACAGTCTGACATACGTGTAATTGTTGTTAGCTAATATTAAAGGCGGAGGCTCGTGCATCTGATATAAAGATATGCGTCTTGAAATAAATGCTTCGATTTTCAATGGAGCAAACGCGCTGATCTCTGTTTATTTGCGATGAGTTTAAATATGGTTACAACTAATAATCTAAAAATAATGCATAGATAAAACAAGTGAATTCCTTTATGAGAAATTATCACTTTGTTTAACGTGTGATACTAAATTGTTTTAAAAATGCTTTATTATTTGAATTCTAAAAAAAAATGGACTTTGAATTTAACTTTTAATTCCGATTACGTTAAGGATTAATACAGTATAATCCATCTTTAACATCATTTCGGCATCCTTTGATCTAAGATTAAGGATGTAATTCAAATATTAATCCAGAAGAAAAAGGAAAATAATCAAGATAAATTGAATCTTCAAGACTCGACACAATCTTTCAAGTTTAATCAGACCAAATCTGTTGTTTGATACTAGAATTCTCTTGGCGATTATAGAGTTCATTAATCAAAAAAACAAAAAACAAAGCTGTATTAATGATCAGTAAGATCTAGTAAGAGAAGATGAACACGGGATTATTGTCACTTGACAAATGACGTATTGAGAAATCGTTGTTAATGCCAGATAAACCCCTTTTAACCCATTTCGTCTGTTACTCTCAACATAAGATTGTAACCAAAGTAAGACATACCTATTAAAAAGAATAAAAGCAGACATCTTGCATAATGTCATTGGCCAAAGCCATGCTTGATGCCTTATGTGTAAATAATAAAAAATTTCAACAAGGACAAAAGTTGCACTTGTTCGGGTATTTATGTTCATGTATAACTGTAATATTTGTATAATAAACCACTTGAAATCTACTCATATATGATAAAATACGACCCGTGTACTATGTATGTATGATAATAGCTTACATGACATACTTATATAGATAATGGGTTTTCACATATATCAATGATATATTTCAAGCCATTATGCAATCTAGAATCTGGAAACTTCTTTTTGTGGTTGTGAGTGGATCTTTATACTTAATATGATCTTGTACAACCGCAATATCGCTTTTGGATGCCTTGAGTGTTATTCAAATATGCATACTTCTTTCTTCGTCAAATTGAAAATGAACTCGATGGCCGGTATCAGAGATACAATGCCAAGACCCAATCTAGTTGTTTTCATAATCTGATCGAACTATAGTACCATACAAGCAAATCCATTCAATCAAGATCCCACAAACATACATTCCATTTGTTACTTAGGACCAATATTACAATTTTATTGCTTTCATCGAAGTTTGATTTCCCCAGTGGTCGATCGAAGACAAATTACCCTATTGATCTGATGATAATAAACTTATTAAGCAACCTATTATTTCCCTATAGACAATCTCTGGGACCATTGTCGTAAATTTATTAATAAAATTCCGCCACTGTACTTTACTGAACTTACATAATCATCCAGAGAAAACAGACATATACCTTTCCTTTCGTTTACGCTCGTAAAAGACCGTTATCATTAGTCAAGTTAGATGAAGAAGAGTGGGGCGTTTAACTCAATTTATTTATTTGTTAGCTAATTACCGAAACATTACATGTAACCAGATTTCATGGGATGACTATTGTCCTAAAAGCCGTAAGAGTATTATGATATATCTGAACAACGTACAACCGCTGTAAGTTTTTGAAATCCAGACATTTAAGTTGATTGAAACGGAAGTAAAATTTTTCAATCGTACACCCCTTCCGGTGTTGAAATTATGAGGCGATAAAATAAATATATGGTTTCATCATTGATGAAAAATTGGTCCAAACCATGTCTCTTTGAACTCTTAATACCTCTGGTTTGTGTTTGTTGAAACTCATTTTTCAGCCAGCAGTACAAAGACAGACTCTGGCAATTCAGTATTAATTGGTGTAACCTGTTCTATTAGATTTTAACACGATTTCAACACATGGGAGATGTAATACACGATAATGTATTAGATATGTAAACATCTAGCTTATGTAACTAGCTACACTTAAGGGAGCGCCCAGTCGCCAGCCAACATTGTACAGCCAACGGCGTTTTTAAGGCATCCATGATCATGTTAAATCAAACGAATAAGAAATCTTAAAAATGGCAGGGATAAAAAATTGTACTGCATTTTGTGAACATATAATGTATGGATAGAAACATCATGCGGACGAACTATTGCGTTACCAATCAATATTTCAAATCCATGCCCTGAATATCGAGGCCAATAGGGATTGTGAGTAAACTAGTCAAGTTTTGTGCATTATTGCATGTACCAGGATTATAAAGTGTAATTTTACGGGTTAAACATCAGAAAATATTAGAAACTTCCAGCCCCATTATTTCGTCAGCCCATTTAATCACTTTACTTAATAAACCCATTCAACTTGTGATATCATTCTCTATGCGATTTTCTGCTTCGATAATTTCCTATTACTCACTATTGAATTTCTATTTCTTATTTTGATCAGTAGAATTAAATACGTTTTCTGCAAAATTAGAACTAATGAAGTTCACAAAAGTCCGGGAAGGTTTTTCTTTAATGTACCACTCACTCATTTCGTCGAATTTTTTGTTTAGGGATAGTTGCTGACATCTTCTATGCAAATGTAATAATGTTGAAAGTAAATTTCATCATGTAAATATATACTTGAAGTTTCTGGGAGTGTTTTATCATACGTTATGTGTTTAAAGCTAAGCAACATTTATAATCCTATAGACATCGTGGAAATTAATAATAAGATTCTCTTGTTTGAATAAGCACTTGTTGAAATGTATTAAATTTCATCCATAAACGATGAAACATCGTTTTTAGCACACTGCTAAATTGGAGCCGAATTAAACAATGTCAAGTAATATTGACGATAGGGTCACAAAACAGATCATGCGAGTTGTAGCCTACATGACTTAGTTTCACGAACATAAATATTTATTTTCCAGATATAATCCCTGAGATAAAGGCGTTTGTGAAGAAAAAGATAAAAGAAAAAAGTTACTGAATCTTGGAAGATTTGAAATTGAGACAAAACGCGAAGGGTAATTAAATGATATAAAACCGAGAATGACAAGTTGATATAAAATGCGAACAGCAGAACAGTCTTTTTGATAATGAATTTCGGTTACATGTAAGTGACAGAAGGAAGATAGACATCTAATCTTGTACTCGTCACCCAAATCTGTTTAAATAGGTCTTCAGAGAAACACAAACGATATGCTGGGAACTTTACTGATAAAATACAAAAATAAAAACAAGATATTCATCTCAAGAAAAACATAAATTTCATGCATGTAATAAAAACCTTCAAAGCAATAGATTTGATTAAATGAAGTTAAAATTACAAAATACGTAATTCAACACGTTGAGAGATAATCTGAACAGTTTTTGGGAATTTCCTTAGTTTAATGTGAACCAATTTGCGTCGTCACAGCATGCATCTCTATAAGACGACCATTAATTTAAATACAAATTTTCTTAAGTGCTTCTTAAGTGTTTGACTTAAGCTAGACTTGGTGTTGCAGATGAAAATAGCATAGACCGGTACATGAATATGTTATATACTTTACTTGCGTTCACATTCACATCTTACGATTTTTCATTTCTTAAGGTTTACTTAGTCCAATAATTGGAATCTGGTACGTATGTAAACCTTCATAAAAAAATAAAAAAAAACTAAGAGTATGATGCAAAGCACTATTTCATCTTACAATTTTCAGGAAAAGACGTCTGGTAATCTAGTCACCAATATGAAATTGAAATTTATAGTTCCCCGTATCTATAATTGATAAGGCAAGTTTATATGAACAACCAACCAATGGGTGGTCCATTGGGGCAATACAACATTCATTAAAACATTTTATATATCCAATTAGGACATATATACCTAACTCGGGAGAAAAACATCGTATTAACTTTGTGGATCGGATTTCAAATTCTCGATAAGAAAAACTAATAAAATATTTCAAAGTTGAGTTTCATTCGTTTATCAAGGTCGGGTATAACTTAAAAACTTATGAAGCTCAACGACGAGACTTTTTTGAATGGTGATGCTGGTGCATGTACTTGCAGCAATCAACTTTATTTGCACAAGCTATGCAGATGTAAGAATCGGTCTACAATCAATAATGCATTGTATCGGCTGTATTCCAAGGTTGGGGCTGCAGTTGTCGGTAGTCAAGCAAAATCCTTGTACGAAATTTAACTTCTGAACAATGCAGATCAGATTTTTTTTATTCTAACGTCCATTTCCAGTTCAAATAACAAACTGCACACAATTTTCAACTCATTAACATCAGGTTTTACTCTCATCGTTGAGTTTTGTTCTTTTCAACTCTAGAGAGGGCTCTGTATAAATGTTTATAACTAGTAAATTCCAATGACTAATTGAGGAAGTAAAGTAAATTATAGGAAGTGTCCAAACCAATTGTCAATCAAGTTTCTGTGCTTACCAACCAGTATTAAGTGGGGTATGTGAAGAGGCTTCACAGGCCATCAACATACCATATACAGTGATATTTGAAACTAAGAATGTTAATAAAGAACGAGTACCGTCTCAATTTATATATACATTAAGTCTCATGTAGGTTATGATCGTCTTGTATTCCCAAAGAAATTAAACATGATATCCAATCCGTTGTGGGTAAGAATCTTTTCTGGATGTTGTGACCATTATTTTAGACTTAAGCTAAACATTCCAGAAATTAATCAGAAGCCATTATTGGTTTAGTTGAAAAGAACCTACTCTATTCATAGATTTCGGTATTGCCCATTACCCCGTGGGAGGCTCTTGTATTTGTTATCTTTGTAATGTGTTATGGTGTAAACACAAATTTAATTTCATCAATTGCTGAATTTTAAATTTGCTTTAGCAATTTCTACTATCGTGTTTCCATAACATTAAAACGAAGAGAAGCAGAATTCAGTATCAGGAACATGTCAATGAGTATTTGGGATTGGCATCTAATAATTTCTGCATGCATGATGTGTGAGGCAATTCACTTCACAAAATGTAAGTTGTTGTAAAGATTCCATAAACATATGCATGCAAAAAACACAAGGAATTGTTTTAATCTATGTTAACAATACCATACCCACTTCAAATGTAATACAGGCGTGTACAAGTCGGTAAGAGATTAAAATTCTCTCAACTAAAGTTTGTTTATTTATAACGATGTAAATCGAGAAGTCTGTTGAGCAAATCCTAAACACTTCAAAGATGGAAAAAGCTATAGTTAGATACTTTCAAAATGTTGCATTGTCCTGAAATAGTTAAATCATGTATGATGCAGAAAAGCGGTTAGAACCAGACGTACAAGGAGGTTAGTTCACCTGTTATCACACCATCCTTCGTTTGAAATTGGGGAAAAAATGTTACTGGCAACGCTAAGGATAGTTTTTAAAAAATAAGATGAATATCGTGCATGCAGTAAATATGATACGTTAACTGATAAGAGAAAATGTTGAAATTGAAAATTTGGCATCTGTTCTGCATTGAAATTGCAATATATTACAAAAACATATTATTCCAAAATGCAGTACAACAACAACACAGTGCAGAAAGGTCGTTGTTTTTGAATTCATACGAATTACAGGAATGTTTTAACTACATTTGATAAAGTTTTGTTGGCCTCAAGATCTCAAGATGTTAAACAACCTCTTATTATGCTCAAGAATAATGAAATGGAACGAAATGACACCGTGACTTTGTGAAGTGTTTAACCACAAACATTGAAGTAAAGCAAAATCAAATGCGTGTGTATACTACAATGAGGTTGAAACGAACTGCTATGTATTGTTTTTAGTCTAAGAATCTACAAAAAGCAAGGCTATAGTGGTATTTTTAGTGCAACTCACATCCCGACTAATATTAGGTTGTTAAGGGAGCTTTGATCTAAATTTTTCGATTTTTTAAAAATTTTAAGAATATGAGAGGGCAGACTGTCTCTAGCGCTGAACGTGATCTCGGGTATTTTACTTCAATATTCTCTAGCAAACACAAATTAGTTACCTGAATCTACTATCTTACTACATAATTATTGGTTTGTCTCACTCTGATAGGGTTGACAATATATATTCCGGACGACAGGAAACAACCATAAACCCTAAAGCTATAGGTATATAAAAACTACAAATTGTCAAGCATGTGTCAATCAAAAAAATACTATACTATTTGTTTTTTTTTAAAAGAAGACTGACTTCAGGGCATGTCACGGCCTAAAGAATGCTTTTAATTAACCATTTGCCAATTAAAACATGTGTCAATTAATTAGAAACATAATTAATATTAATTGCAACTAGTAAAGACTAGGTAACATGAAGTACGACTATCGGAAAAACCAATTTGATATCCATCATATTGGCAAAACCTTTTGGCAGTTTTATTATTATTTTCATGAAAAAGTGCACATTGATAACTTGACATTTTCAAAAAAGATTGTAATCAAAATACGATTTTGTGCCATCCAAACAGGTAGAAACCCTAGCACTTAATCGCCAAGGGTTACCCATCACAAACAGAAGGCGATAATCTGGTAAAGTTCCAATAGCACAGCCAACTTTACCTAGTTGATGATAAAGTCGACCGGTTGTGGACCCAAAATTCGAAGCCACTGCACCCTATTAAATGAAACTAATACCCTACTTTCACGTTGTCTGTGTTAAAGTTTGGCAAGGGATCAAGTAATTAGTTGCCATTGATTTTAAAGATAACATTTGAATAAGAATATATTTCCATTATGTTTTCAGGTCAGAAATAAGTTTAGTGAAAATAATCTATTCATTTCAATAGGTACTAATTACATATATCGTATATTATGATTTTATGATATATGTAGTTGAATAAAGTTGAGTTGAAAATAAAATACCCTGAAGGCATTAGGTTAGATTTATCGAAGTATCTGTATATTTCGTAAAAATGTCCTCATGCCAATTATCCTGTTTGCTTCAATGCGGAAGTAAAATATTAGTGGAAATTTGTAGCTATATTTATATTCTTGTGCGTTTCGCTAACAACTGTCACCAAGGCTGCTATGTGGTACGTAAAACTGATACGGTATCAGTTATTCTCTGAGACTATTGTCTTGATGTAATGATTTGGCACGATACTTATATGTGCATATGGGGATTAGAGAGTCAGAGAGGATGACTGAATTCTAAATTTCAGATGGGGAAAATACTGTCTATGGCACCAGGCATCCCACTAAAACCTAAAAAAAAATGCTGTTGAAAATGAAATTTTAAGTGTTGAAGCGAGCTGAAAGTTAGATTACAAAAAAACTAAAGTAAGCACATACCTCGTTGAAACTGTCTTTTACATATCGTTGTATTAGAGAAGTTTTTCCACAATTACAGTCACCAACTACCACAATTTTAGAACGTACTATACTATCCTCTTTCATGTTCAAGGAGCTGTCACTGGTCTGAATAGTTAACTGTCTGTCAGGGGTCACACTTTTACTTCTGGAACCCTTATCCTCTTTTAAAGGCATGAAAACAAATTCTGAACACGCTTGATCTTTCATCTTGAGTAAATGTGAAATAGAAACCAATTCTACTTAAAATTGATGTGAAAACACGTTATCCAATGATTGAAAAAAGAGAGTTAAAGACCTTTAATTTAAAACGCTCACTGATCACCAGAGTAAAGTGTGAAGCCTTTAGTCCTTTAATGAATAACCGTAAATGAAGAATTCATCGTAGTCCGCAAGGAGTCGTCACTTTATGAAGAATTTTGCCGAGCCCTTGAAGCCACTTTCATTCACGGTAGCGAGATTAACGAAGCGTGTGAAACCATCGTACTAAAGTTTACTGAATGCAGACGACATGTGTTGGCTCGAACCACTATGAATGGATTAATCACGTGACGGCGAAACAGTTAAACCAATGAAAATCGTTGATTGAATGCGGGATTTATGGGAAGCAGACGAGAACAAGTTGTTGAACTAGTGGATTTAATGGGCTAACGGTAAATAAGTTACTATCAATAGATCTGCTTAAATTTGATTGAAATCTCGAAGAAAGGAAAAGATGGCTGCTCATTCATGAGAAAGTAAATAAATGTACATGTCTATCATATACATTCAATTGTCCCGTTCTACCATTCAATTATTCCTTTCGTCCATACACGGTCAAAGTTCAGGTAATTCTGTTTCTATACGAATGCAGTGTAGTAGAAAAATAATGAAATTATAGATTGAATATGTCTGAATAGACTTGAAGTTATGGTGATTGGCTTAAATTTCATTTAGCCTCCAATATCTAAAGGTAAGAGGGGCTGACATGGAAAAAGCGTCTAGTCATTCGGATGGGACAACAAACCGAGGCCCCGTGTGCTACAGGCTGTGCACGTTAAAGATCCCTCGACAGTTGGAAATCGAAAAAGAGCAGGCTAATGCTGCTGTCCTGGCAAAATTTCCCTCATGGCACCCTGCATGGCGTTGCCCGTGTTCATTTGCCCACAAGGTGCAGAAAAGTAGGACGTAAAACTCCATTCATTTCATTTCCTCCAATATCTAAAAGTTTTACAGATTAGGCGCTAGTTAATGTAAATAGATGTGAATTTCCAAAACTCTTAGCAAAGGTTATGACTTATTAAGATTAAGATAATAAGATGACATTCATGGAGTAATTAATATTAACATCTATCTTAAAGAATATTGGATTGATAACATCAACGTTTGTTCACCAAAATGAAGGGAATAGTCGCAGAGGTGAGAGAAGACCCAGTGTTATATAAGCCGATATTTGCCCTTACTGAGCAGGCTAGGTTCCAAACATTGAAAAGAGTCCAAGAACATGGGACGAACAACCAAACTAATGTGACATTTGTATGCACGTTTCACAAAGAGGCTTTCATTCAAACTCTAAAGAAATTAACATAATATAATATATGATAATGTTTAGTCGAATAAAGCATAGAACAAATATTCTATATAATACATTGATCTCATCCTGGCCGGTCTTTAATCGGCAGAAAATGATTCGCAAGTCAAAATAAAGTATAAATATGTGCATTTCTAAGTGGTAATCAATCGCATTTGTCTGAAACCAGATTCTAACACGGTTAGATGGAATTTAAGTGACTTATTGAATAACCCATATAAAATAAAATTCCATGCTCTATGTGGATGATGTCTTCGTGGTTCAGGTCATGTTAAATTAGTGCATTGTTTAACTATTGCGGTTAATGAAGAAATCCGAGATCTTCATCGAATTATTTAAAGATTTAAAGAGGTTGTCCAATGATCAGACGTTAGCTATGTCTAAATGTTACCATTGTTCCAAGATAAAAATAGTATAGCATCGAATGAGAAATATAACAGTGTAGTTAAAATCTTCAATGTCAAACACCCCCTCATGACTGATAATGAATCTTGATTTAGTAATGGTGTTAATTAACAATCTAGATTAGTCCAGATAAGACAGACCACATTACAACCAGTTTCACCAGGGTTGATCTCATGGTCTAGAAATTGTTCTTGGACTCTTGTGCCAGAGTTATTTCTCAGTTTTCTAGCAAGTCGCCTCTTTGACATAGTGGATAAATTTCCATAGGTTTAACCTGAAAAGCGGGCCATGTGTACAAAGTGCACGTAAAATAATAATGAATAATGAATAATTTTAATTAGCCCCGATATGGTCACCTACACGCAAATTTACTACAAGAGGACAGAAACTTCGATACATTTTGTATAATATTAAGTGTTTTTACTGAATTTACTTTCGAAATATCATAAGAAACAGTGGAAGTACAAAGCAGAACCAACCAACTTTTCGTTCGTATGAAACAAAACAAGAAGAAATTTGCGACTAACCGTCATTGATAAATAACGTAAGGTCCGAACTAATTATGATATTGAGTTACTAGAATCGGATAACCTTGGCTGATATCCTGATCTAAACTTTAACCACCCTCCATATCTTATCTTATAGTTATTATCACGATAACATACCACTAGAACTTGATACCGCTTCACTGATGAGACCAAATTATTAATTTCATTTATCAATTAACAAAGCAATCACAAAGCTGAAGAGACTTGACGCCAATCTTATTAATGGCGTACGACGAACGATCGAAGCAACGAAGAAGTATGGTGATATTTACAGCAACCATCACATTGATAGAGAGTCCTTTAGTTGCTCACAAAGCAAATGGGAGAGGGGATTGAGCTCTTCTGCTACGCATATGCGTGCAAGTGAAAACTCATGTACCTCTGAATTTCTTTACGATTGAACGCAATAAAAACTTGACCTTGACGCATCATTCCCCCGAATCAGACGCGCCTGCATAAGAAACAATATAACTTTCTGCATCAAACGAACCACATGGAAGTGATTATCATTTGCCCATAAATAAAACAGAGACAGCATATTCCTTTTACAATGCATAATGAAAAAGAGTTGCATGAAATAAAACATTGACTGTTGCAGGTGCTCCGGAAGGAACCAACTCATTTCATCTCATATTATTTCTCGATTATAACCATATTCTATCAATGTCATAATAACCCAACTTCAGTCAAAACAAAGGAAACTCAAATACCAATTTACACAAGATTGGTTTACAAAATGTCGTTTCAAATTGTAATGATGTTGTACAGATGTTTAAATTTTTCTAAACATTGCTTGTCAATTATAGAGTTTTTCCCACGAGTACATGCACTCGACAACTATTCTGAAATGGTTAGTTGTATACTTCCGGTTTAGCACGCGTTTAAGTGTTTTTAGATCGACTGTAAACTAGATAATATGCATTTATTTTTTCATATAAATTAAAGATATATGAAAACAACACAAACTGAAACAACTCAACAAAGCTGATGAGTGTAAACTATCCTCAGATAATGGTGTTCTCTGGAAGCCCTAACCATGCAAAACAACTGCTCTTAACTTTTAGTTGACCTTACAAGTTATTGACCAGAGCCCATGTTTGAAAAGAAACCTGTGCTGAAATGGGTTTTTTTTCTGGCTATACCACACAAAACATACCAGGACAGATTACGATGTACTGGTAGTGTGCCATGCTGTTCTATCCACTGATATTGTTTGATTAACTCACTCGACTGGAATAAAGACAGCCGTCCTAGAGGGTAAGTCGACCAAACTCTAAATTGTTCATTCATCTTTTAGCTAGTGAGATAAAAGTTAGTTTATCGAACTGTAGTGATAGTTTTTATTATCATGAAAAGTCAATACGCTAATAAAAATAAATTGAATTTGAATCTAGGGCGTTGCAAGTTCTAACCGGAAACCATGCACCTGATTAAATTGAATGGTTTATTTGCCTTAATAACGGTTTGTCTTAATAAATCAATATCTGCGTCCAAATTGCTGTTTTTTGAGTTAATTAAAGCGTTTCTGTTTTTCATCGTTTTGTAACAGTTCCTACTACATTAAAGGGGGTTTGATGTTGCTTGTTTTGGGAAAACAAAGATCTGAAAGTGCAAAATCTCAAATTGTTTCCTTATTGCTGGGAATTGCTACCCCAAAGATAAAGGAAACCTGTACACAATGGGACTGTTTCTTTCTTGCCTGTACAAATGCCATTCAATTGAGAATTTCTAAAATAACACAACGAAGTACGACAAAAAGTTAAGTAAAAACCTTAAACGGAAGATTGACTAGGCTTGATGAGTTGAACAGAACCCCGTGCAAGAACCATCTCGCTATGTCCAGTCCATTTATTGCGCCATGACATGACATGACACAGTGTGAGCATAGATAATTTAGTTTAAGGTCACATGATTTTTAATCTGTCTTAATATTGGGATAGATATCACGTTTCTTTATATAGAAATTTGACGTCAAACTCGCCAGTCGATATATCAGTTGCAGCTTGAAAACTTATTTTTAAAAGATAGTGATATCAATTTTAAATTGTGTTTAAAGAAGATCATATTGGTCGAATGTATATAAAATTGCACAACTAATAACTTTACTAAATTTAACAAGAAAATTAAACATGTTTTCTTTGAAAATTGAGTCAATAACTGTTTTTGCTTTGAATAAGGTTAACTGGAAAACTACCATTTCTGTCTGGATGCTTTCCATGCCAGTTCCTCCGACCGACAACCTCAAGGGGTAAATCGCGAAAATTTGAACAAGGCCCAAATCATTTCCTTTAACAATTAAGCCAAACCGCAACCGGTATATTATGTTACGATGGAAAGCCACCCACGCGACTAGACGTTCTATCAAATTCAGCCCTCCGATTTCCATAACTGACAGAGGGAACCCGGGTAGAAAGTATGTGGGGACCTTTGGTTATCGCGAAAGCCTAGGAACTGACTAAGCTGAAACAAATGATTATTAGGGTTATTGGAATGCATACCTACATCCATTTAGTACTATCCTTGATAAACAAAATAAATGCCCAATAATATAATATATGAAAAAA